GAAAAGAGAAAATACACTGTAAGAGACAGTGACACTTCGTATCAGACAGGATGTGGGTTGGTTAGTCAGAAACCATAGACAGTAAGAGAAAGAAAAGGCAGCACTGAGTCTGTCTACCTGTTCACACAAGCACATTATCTTACGCCTCTGAAAACTGGATAGCTAGAAAGGATTCTCATTTGGGGCACTTATTTGGTCTATTTTAATAATCTGTAGCTTTACAGATTGATTCAAAAACAAACTCCTGAGAAAATGGCAATCAAGTGTTAGTAGTGGCATATGCATTTTTGGATCTTTTAATTTCACATTACTTCTAAATATGTACTGTCGATATCAAACCTGTATGGTGGAGGTTTATGAAACATACCAGCAAATTAGCTTCTCACCAATTAAAAATCCATTTTTCAAATGGAAACTTTATTTACAGAGATCCTCACAATCAGAGGAAGAGGGAGAAAACATTCATAAACTGGTTTCTTTAAGAACAGAAATGTATTTTGATTTTGGGTATTCCAAATTTCAGTTTTAGCCATTAATACAGTTATTTAGCCCTTAACTTTCTTTCCTCAGAATATCAGTAGGGCTATCCTGATGTTTAAGAGCTGGCTGTTAAGTCTGTCCAGCTGCAGGCAATTAAGTTTAACTTCTGTGGAATAGAGTGGTTTTGGAACATATACGTTACGCCATTATTGCACTCGGACTGATTTAAAGAGCGTGGTTTTGAATCACTTAATGCCAGCATTTACCTAAAATGCCTGAATACACTATGCAATACAATATGCCCACAAATTCCAAAGTTAAAACAACTATAATTTCATAGTTTTGTTTTAAAATGTACTGTCTCTAAGATGTTAATGGAAACAGACAATTACAAAACTCATTGAAAAAGTAACAGGGCAAGAGAGTCCCCATATAAAACCAGAACACAATGTGCACAGAAAACTCATGACAAATGACGCTCAACAGAATGGCAAGTGAGCTTATTTCTCTTCTCTTTGGTGTAAAAAATCCATTGTACCAATGGCACTGCATCTTCAAAACAGTTACTGGCATGATCAAGTGCTCTCAGTACGAAATAACCACCATTCCCTCCTGATGTCAGCGGTAGGCTCTACAACAGGAAAAAATGGAGAACCAGGGATCATGCAGTTTTTTTCGTGTTCTGAACATGCCTCGTTTAGACTGCTTGACTTCAGTCACACAAGACCTTTCTCTTCTTTCTAATAGAATAATACATTTCCAGTTGGATTCTTCAGTATTTTCACCAATGTTTTTTCCTCAAACAAAAACGCAGTTTACTTTCACACCTCTAATTTCTTAATGCTTAAACTATATCCCCTAACTGTTAATAACGCACATGTGTGAAAAAATTCAAACACCGTATAATGCCAAATCAACGGATAACTCATGTTTTGATTTTATATATTTATACAAAATCCAGACATAATTAATTTTTTCTTGCCACAACATGAACACCACCCTTAACTTTATCTGAGATTCAAAAGCTTCTTATTGACCTCTGCTGCACCTTCTCCCAAGCAAGAGGCTCCATTCCTCTCATGCAGTAACATTATTCAAGCTTTTCCAATGAGATGTAATGTGGTATCATTTTCACAAGCATTACATTAATCCATAAACATTTCAAAGAAAAGTGTATATCAATCATGTAATACAAGACTGTGACTCTTTCAAAGGGTTCTAGTAAGTCTGTAAGTACTAGGAGTATAGTTTCAGTCAGCAGATCACAGAGCTTGAATATCCCTGTTACTTTGCTGAGCATTAATTACCTTGGTTATTCTAAAAAGTTTTCAATGCATGAATTCATACTGAAGTGGCATTCATAGTAAGTCTGCATTATTTCACATAATACCATTGCCATAATATGACCTTTGAGCAGGTTTGCTGCTTTATGAAAATCTAAAAAGCCCTTCTTATTGGACTACATTAAGTATATTAAAATGTCACTATTAAGGCAGCATATATACCTTGAATTACTCTGAAAAGAACCATTGAAAGCATTCTCTTTACTGACACAGCTTTGAATGATGTATTATTTACAAAAGTAGGCACCAAAAAACAGAGACACAAAATATTTGACTTTTCTTTGCTGAAAGAGACTGAGGGGCAACAGGACAGAGGCACAACCTTAGAAGCAAGTGAGGTTACTTCAGAATTACACCAACATAAATAAAAATAGAAAAACATTAAGGATAAAAGCTGGCTTACTTACTGAAACGAGAGGATGACTTGCCTTACTTTCCAAATACAACTGTATCAATGATAGTCAGAAGGGTGTAGCAGTTTTTTGACTGTTTCACTAGAGGGCTCTTTAACTTTGAATAAAAACTCAATTTTTACAAGCCAGGAGATGACCTGGAAGTTAATGCATGAATGCAAAGTGTGGAATATGGAGAAACGCATGAAACTGCTTTTGCAATCATGTTTCCTGACTGAAAAGCAGAGACGAGTGATACCGCAAATAGTGATCCGCTGTTCTAAAATATTTTAGGACACAGTAACATTTACTTCTTTGTTCTGTTTTAGCTTTGCTATAGATGTTGCTGCTCAAAAATGTCTTTTGCTTAGTTAAGTTTGCTTAATTTTTTCAACACTCTTTTCTAAAAAATACAGTTACCTAGGTCTCTCAAATACATTTTTAGACAGCATACAAGACAACCTGTTGAGTTAACGAGAAAAGTAACAGTCCAACCATTTCTCCCCCTTCTGTTTCCAGGAAAAGGGAAGACAAGAACCACCATCGATCAAAGCTATGGTTGTGATTCACTGCCGTGTGCATAAAGTAAACTTCATGGGTGAATTCTGCCATCTGCCTATCCAGGTAAACATGAACTGCTGAGATTGCATCAATGGGAAAAAAGACCTCACATACATTGCCTTTTACTAAACACCTCCAAGCATTTTCTTGCTTGCTTTGGGGATTCTAAATATTTGAACAGGAGAGGCTTTGAATCAGCTTGGAAGTCCCCTCTCAGTAAAAGCAGATCACTTTCTCTGGTGAGTTTCTGCGATTATGTCTCTAATCCTATACTGAAATTCAGTGTACTTTCCCAATAAAGACACTACTTTCTGAAATTCAAACTTTGCGATTACCATTGTATACTTTTAGACTAATCCTTGAAGACTCACGTAAGTATAATTTGATACAAGTTGCATCTGTTTAAAAAGAACCAAGCAGAAAGAAGAGGGAACTGTTTTCATACATTTTGTTCACAGATACAGTGAGCACTCTGTCAGTCTTTTAAAAATAAATTATTTTAATCATACACCTCATCCAGCGCATGTAAAGTCTTTACTGTTTCTTGAGCCCTACCGGGTATGGACAGACAATCATTCATGCACCTATGGAAAAGATAGGTTCATTTACTAAACTTTCATTTATTTTTAAGAAAGGTGATACTGCCACCCTTCTTTTCTGTGAGGTTATGATCTGACTTTAAAACACTATGTATTATTTTTTTACTCAGATAGGAGGTTATTGCTGAAAAAAACCACAAGGTCAATACGTGCATATGCATAAAAGGAGAAATTCATATTGGTACACAAACGGGAGTAAGTGAAAGTTTGCGTTTTTCTCTCTGCATCTTTCTTTGTGGTTTTTTTTGCAGTGAACTTCACCTTCAGCAACGAAAGAATTATCGTAGATATTTTTACCTGTGATCCAATCACGTTTGGAGAGGGTGCAGTAGGCTGCTGCTGCTGTTGATGGTGGTGTTGCTGTAGCTGTTGTAGTGGTTGTGGCTGTGGGGTCTGTAGTTTGTTTTCTGACTGTGCCAATGGCTGTATTTGAAACTTACTGTCTGGCTGTTCCTGCTTCACTATCAAATTCTTTCGAAGCTGTTCCACCACTCTTTTCTACCAGATAAACAAACACATAAATTATGACAGTTATTTAGCTGCACATATTAGAGAATATAACAACACCTGAAGTTACATCAGTAAGTGGTCAGTTCTTTAGTGGGATTTCTCTTTTTGGAATTTTAAATATTGGTGTTATCTAATGGGCAGAGTGTCAAAATAGGCCACAGAGAAGTACTGCTGCCCAGCAGCATGACCTTGCTGTCCTTGCAGAAACCCACCCATCCAAATTCAGCCTATTCACAAACCACTGCAAGACCTCATTAACCTGTATTCACTTGAGACTTGTTAGCATTCAGATTCCAAAGTTTTTGACTCCTTCAAACAGGCACCATTCCTACATAGTGATGAAAAAGGACTTCAGGTTGAAGCCTCAGGAACGACTTCAAGGCAATGGGGATGTCAATTTGTGCCAGGCAGCGGAACCGAGTGGAGAGAGAGTCAGTTTGAGTGCCAAGTGGGTAAATAGGGAGGGCATGCATGTGTGGTCATTCTGTTCAATATTATTGTCACCTGAAAGAAAATCAGATAGGGCTACCTACATGGGAAGGAAAGTGCACAGATTTATTTCTCCCAGCTTAAAAGCTTCCTATTACATTATAGCTTCCATGAAAGTTTGAAATTATTTTTTAAATAAGTTTCTTCTCCTGATAGCTATTGTATATCTTTAGACAGTAACTCAACAGGTTTAAGAGCAGACCAGGTGACCTGCAGGGTAAGAAACCATGTCACCACATGGGTTGTAAGGGTTTACAATTTATTGTAAGTATAATAACTAAATTGTTACATATAATAGGATTTATAATTATATATAAATCATTACATATAAATTATTATATATAATAACATAATATAAAAATATTATATTACATATAACAATAATATACATAGTATACTTAAAATGTATATATTAATACATATTATATGCAATAAGTCATATTATACTTTAGTGTGGACAAGGGTGAAAACATGACAAGACTTTTTTTACCTTTTGCAGGCATGATAGAAAATGGACATTTTTTTCCTACACTCCAACCACCCCCAAATTAGGACAGCTCTAAGAAAATTGAGATATGTACTTAAGCCCCCTTGATCAAGGCCATATGCATACTCCAAAACAGTTATATGACAAGGTTGGCTTTGAAAGAGGACACTGAAGCCAAGAGACATGGTTGGGGCTCAACTGAGAAAGCTCTAGCAGAAACAGAACGGTCAGGCAACCTCTACCAGCCAGGTGCTGACGGTGAGCTGCCCCAAGCAGTTCCACTTAGAATGGAAAAGAAAAAAACATTCAGACAATATCAGATGTTTAGATTTTTGTTCTGAAGCATTAGTATTAAGACACAGTACAAAACGGAGAGATAGAACAACAGCCCCCCCCTCCCCGATCCAGCTAGTTACAACCAACTGAAACAATTTTTCCCTCAGATACAGGATTACAAAATTCGGAGCTAATGAAGTATCTGCCCTCCGCACGGTTCCTATGGACATGCTATAAACTTTTGATTCCGAGTATCTTGCTGATGATGAGTTAAAACTGCGCTGTGCCTCACACACTGAATGTGTACCTCTATCCCAGAAGAAGATAACAAAATGCGCAGGGGTCCCAGATTGGCAGATTTGAGAACCGGAGCTTGAAGAAGTCAAATAAAACACACCATCAATGAAAAAAACACCCGTTTCGTAAGGTTGAAATGGGTGAGTTCACATGATTCACCTTTTTGCAAACGACAATTCAGCAACTCAGAGGTGTACAGGAGGACTGCCTGGCTTCTACAAACCCCCCAGCCCTGGCTGGGGATGCACGTTCAGCTCTGACGACAGGAGAAAACACAGGCCCAACCTCACTGGCAGTTCAGGGAGTTGGTAACGGACGGCAGCGTGAAGGAACTATTCTACACTGCATCCAGAAAAGTGCTAAAAGCTGTCAAAGACTAAAAGCTGTAAATTGTTTATTCCCTTCTAGAACAAGGAGGAAATAATAGGAGTGTGGCAGGCATTTTTCTAATTCAGATATTTTACATAGTTTTAAATGGCCTGTGTCTATCAGCTCACTCGTACACGTTATAACTGAACAATCATTTAAAATTGCTTTCTGAAAAGATCAACCATGTTAACAGGCAAACCAAAGTGCCGTGTCAGCAAGCAGACACAAGAGCTGAAAAAATATTTCCAGGGAGCAGCCCAAGAGGGAGGGGAGAACAGAGCAAAGTAGGAGAGGAAATAATGCAACATGCCTATGGAATATCTGCCAAAAGTTGGACTGCACATACACTGCACAGGAGGCTAAAGAATTACTGTACCCAGCATGAACAGGAAGGGAGTTTTTGTCTTCCACAGCTGCCTGTATGAAATGCAGTGATAATGGTGCTCTTCTACTGATTCCCTAACAGGAGGAAATCAGCAGCAATGGCCCAGAATTCACTTCCATCTTGTTCTTTACAATGGGGAGGAACATCAGTGAAACGATTTAAAAAAAAATAAAAAAGGAGAGGGAGAGGAGAGGGAGTGGCAGTCTGGAGGAGGCCTCTGCCAGGCTGCTACAGCAGGGCGGGAGCCCGCGAGGACGGGAGCAGGAGCAAGGTGAGTCACATCGCATTCACACACTGCCTGTTCCACCCCCGGGCCCACACCACGGCTTGCAGAGCTGGGGAAAAGCAGGACTGAAGCCCAACTTGTATTAGTGCCTTGTGCAAACACTGAGGCTGAGCGTATTTGGCACAAAATGGGTAACGTGAGTGGAAAAACGCCATTGCTCTGGAAGTCTATGCTAGGCTGTTAGAGGCTGCCGAGAGCTGCCTGGCAAGCAGCAGCATATCCTGCCATCCATATCCATTATGCAGATATTAAATTGGAAGAAACATCTAATGCTTTTAAGATGCAGAGAGTAAAACTGAAGTTTGCAGTGCATGCCAATTGCTTACGCAGTTTATTAAGCTGCTTCTACCAACTGTCAGTAAAAATACCACACTGAAACTACACAAATCATTTTACTATCTTCAAGACAGTTGGGATCATCTGTTTGCTAGTACTTATCAAGAGGGACTCCGAACAACCTATTCCAAAATTACTTAGCTTAATTAGCAAAACCAGATGAGACTCTCAGGGTTGCATCTACACAGGAACTAAGAGCAGATCGACACCTATTTCCAGCACTACCCTCCGCTGCGTCCTCCTCTACACGGTCTCAACCCACGCCGGCAGTCTGACACCATTCGGCTCCTCCACGGCATCCTGCTGGAACCGCGGCTCTGCAGCCGCACGAGAGCCCTGGCACGTGTCTGCCTGCAGCCGTGCTAGCAGAGTCTTGTTTTGGAGGGAACTGAAGAGGAGGGCAGTATGAGGGAAACTCTTGTCTGCTGTCAGACTTGATACTTCACTAGAACTGTATTTTAAAATTGTTCTTGAGTTACTTGACTGTTCTTAATCAATTTTGAAGGTGCTCTGTGCTGCAGAAAGTACAACCTGTATGACTGAAATTTGCCAAGGCTGATATAAAGTCCTAGCTATGTGCCTTAGAGACTGAGTGCCAGGGAGACTGAGGTTATCTAAAAGTACCACAGAACTCTGAAGAAATATTCCTAATTCTTTAAATGTAATCATTGCCATTTTTCCTTCCCACTCTTATTTAAGAATATTTAATTTAATTAAGTTCTTACTGACAAATTAAAAATTTTAAATTGAGATTAACTCAGTCACAAACACAACGGTTCCGTGCACATCAAAAAGCTCTAAACCTCCCCATATTCCTAAAATAGTTTCTTTTCCTACAACACTACAAATGTATGAGATGCATTTGTCTTTCAAGTTTACTGCATTTTCCTCAAAGCCAAGTGCCAATCCTCTCTTTACATCCAGAACATGAAAGAAATTAGTAAACACATCCTTTCTTCCAAACTATGTTCTACCCAAAAGTAACTGCTCGCCCTCTGCAACGGTTACTATCAGATTTCTTTAAAACACATTTGTTGAACAGTGCCCTATAAGCCTACTACATAATCTCATAGCTCTTGCTGTCTTGACATCTTCATCGCTAATCTCATCAAGAACCATTCACACCCCTGAGTTCGCAGAGCCCTAGACATCTTATATGACCCTTTCTTTAAGGTAATAATTGTAATCGATATTGTGACATTTAGCGATACCACTTTCTCATTCATGCCACAGGCCAGATCCTAAGACAGCATTAGAAGATTAATTTGGTTTGATTAAGCAGAAAATCTGCCTCTATGTTTTGTTGGCCATAGATCTGTGCCAAAAAGCGTCTTCTCTGTGCTCATATAAAAAACTACCATGAATATGTTGCTATAAGATAAGGAAAGTCCTTGAAGCAAACTTAAAGCTTAGTAAGGTTTAAATATAATGTTATTAGCTAGGCATTATTTCCATTTTAATCAATCAATAACAAAGTAGTTCTCTGAGTACAGCAGTTTTTTAAATACTAGATCCCTTGTTATATTTGGTAACACATCTTCTTCTTCATCCAGGAAACACGTTCAGAAAAGCCTTCATATCTAAAGGAAGATCTGTTTTTAAACTTCAAAAATCTATAAAAATTAAAACATAAAGATCTTCTAAAAATGAGATAGAAAAGTAAAGTGCTAAACTGCCTTGCAATGCATACCTTTTATATCACAAAAACAAAGCTGATGTGGTTTGAATTGCTCAACTGCCTGCTCATAACCCGCTTTCCTGCTCCACCAATTCCACAAAGTCAACTATTAGGGACTCTCCGTTACCTGTTCCCTCCAATGACCAAGAAACGTTCTCTGGGATATAAAAGTTGCCAACCGCCGAGACTGAAATGGTAAGAGAAAGTACCGATTTCAAATAAGCTCCAACTTGGGAGTCAGGAGGATGGAGAAAATTTCACTGCTCTGCAATCTTCTTTTCCAGCCTCTCGCCCCTCTCCTTGCCAGCTCCATCCCCTGCTGCTATCCAAAGAGAAGGGAAATACGTCTGCTTTTTGACAAAACAGAAAGATACCAAAACTTCTG